ACATGCAAATATAATTTGCCTCCTATTTATGCTTTCATAGCTCATTTCATTTTCAGCCAAGATGTCTGAAATCAACAATTAAACTTTAATGGCCTACAAAAGGTTCAGACACTACAAACCAGCGTGTATCAATTTGAGCTCCATAGCTGTTTAATTAGGAAAGCCTGGGCTAAAATCTGATATAAAACCTACTGAATTGTCGCAGAAAATAAAGAAAGTTTGGACCACAAAGTTTTAACCTCTTTTCTCCTCCGTTATTTTCTTTTACTATAATAAAACTCTACCTTTTAATATAAAATCGATATTTTTTTCACAAAAGTAGTTTCTTCTACAACAATTTAAAAGCTTTTGCACAGGGAAGGTGGGGGTTAACATTTCTCCTCCCCCCTCCAAAGCTGAAACCCTAGAAAATAAAAAGGGAAGAGAAACTTAAGTTGTGGCTACGGACAAGGAGATGAAATTTTAAGTGGGCATGTGGAATGCCTATCAGCCAGAAGTCCTACTGTATGACGCTTCTCTCCCAAAGTGCACACCTTCTGAGTATCAAGGGAATTCTTTAGAGCAGGGGTGTCAAACTCAAAGCCCTCAGGCCAGATCCGGCCTGCAGGGTGCTTAGATCTTGCTCATGGAGCCACTCTGGAAATGGTGAAGGACTAGCCGACGGTGCCTCTGCCAGTGAAAATGGAGCTTGGGAAGGCCGCATGTGGTGACATCGAGTTGGCCACACCCACCCCACCCACCCACCCCTGCGCCCCCAGGTCAAATACAACCCTCATGTGGCCCTCAATGAAATTGAGTTTGACACCCCTGCTTTCAAGGCTGATATAGTATATTGTGTAGCGAGGACCTGCATACTGCACGAATCAAAAAGAGGACTGTGAAAATATTTACAGACCCCTCACATCCTGGATATAAACTGTTTCAACTCCTTCCCTCAAAACGACGCTATAGAGCACTGCACAAGAGAACAACTGGACACAAGGACAGTTTCCCCCAAAATGCCAACACTCTGCTAAACAAATAATTTCCTCAACACTGTTCAACTATTTACAAAGTCTGCACTCCTATTACTATTAATCTTCTCATCACTCCTTATCATCCATCCCCTCCCTCTTGTGATTGTAGGAACTGTAACTTTGTTGCTTGTATCCTTACAATTTATACTGTTTCCTAGTATTTGATTGATTGTATCCTATACATTATGATCCTTGATTCTTAATGAATGTATCTTTTCTTTATGTATACTGAGAGTATTTACACCAAGACAAATTCCTTATGTGTCCAATCACACTTGGCCAATAAAGTATTCTATTCTATTCTATTCTATTCTATTCTATTCTATTCTATTCTATTCTATTCTATTCTA